GAAAACCAGGGACACAGATCCCCACCAAGGACTATCAGTACAGGCACCAAGGGCTATATCACAATTGCCAAGGAGACCACGGGGAATTGGACTGTCCTTGTAGGTCAAGAATTCTGAGGTCATCCATTTCCTTTTGGATCTCCCACATGGGATAGAAGATGCCCAGATCCTTCCTCACAGGATCTAATGTCATCAGAACAATAGCCAGGAGCCCTGAGTGGACCTCAGAAACAGAACAGTATACTCCCTTCAGGACTCAGGAGGGGAGCTTTCTCTGGTCCTTACTTAGCTCCAACTTTGGATTCCCACCCTCTCTTGCAATGACCATCAGGGTCGCTCCAGAGCCCCACCCCTGAAAAAAAATTAGATTAGATAGACAGAGACTAACAAGGAAAGCTTAGAACTAGACAGGAAACGGTCAGCTTGGACTCACATATACCTTACTAGGTAGGACACAAAGATTAGTTACTCCTCACTAAGGTATTGAAGATTTCTCTGCACATCCCTCCTAAAACTGTTCTGCACTTCAACTGTTGACATATGCCTTGTTAGAGTTATAAGCCAGTTTGAACCATCCTAAAATTCGCCAAGTTCAGTAAAAATTATGCTTCAATACTATAAGCTGCTAAATATAAAAATGAAAATACACACGAGACAGCTGAATAGTACCCTGTAGCCATTTTAAGGTGTATAGCACCCGGTTCTGTGTATAAACTAAAATTGAAATGTCAATGAAGTAGTCACAGGATGAGGTTAAGAACTTGCGTTTTCTAACATATTGGGCACTCGATACCATGTCAATTAACTCACAGTGTTGTAAATTGTTGCTGATGTTATGTTGTGGCTTTTCATTGGCTGGGATATTCTGCCAGCTCTGCTTTCAGACCACAGATGGTCTCCCAAGAAATTGTTGAATTTATCTGGACAATAAGATGCTGGACTCTATGCATGGTACATGCTTGCAATGAAGGAATCATGACTGGATTTGAACTGTACTACTGCAACAATGTGGAGGAATCCACCATGGGGGGAGGAGTTGGGGGAATCCCAGAGCCTATGAAACTGTGTCATAAAATGAAATTACAAAAAAAAAAAAAGAGAGAGAGAGAGAAAGAAAAAAAGAAAAAAGAAAACCAGGGACAGATTAATGTAGTCCACGTCAAACCTCCAAATGAGACCTGGTCCAAAACTCGTTTCTGCCTCCCACATGCCTGAGTGAAAGGCATACTAAGAACCAAGAGTGTACTGTGAAGGAGCCTTGGGGAGTGAAAGACATGGGAGCTACTCAGGAGAGGAGCTGGGATGGTTCTCTTGATGCAGATCTTACACATTAAGAATCTCTTTGGGGAGTGAGATTCTGGTGCAGCGATTGCAGCCTGCAAAATCAATGCGCCTGTGCAAGTCCTTGCTGCTCTGTTTGCTATCCAGCTCCCTACCAATGTGCCCAGGAAAACAGCAGAAGACGGCCCAGAACTCAGGCCACTGCAACCCAGTGAGTAGAGTTTCAGATTCCTTGCTTTGGCCTGGACCAGTCCAGGCTGTTGTAACATTTGGGAAGTAAATCAGTAGATGGAAGATATTTCTGTCTCTCTGCATTGCTCTGCTTTCCAAAAGAAAGAAATGTTAAAAAAAAAAAAAAAAAAAGTCACCCATCAAGTCGATCTGAGAGAGAGTTCTAACTTAGGCATCATATTCTAGTCCTTTTACTCTCATTCTCATCCTAAATCTCAGCTTTTCCAGTCTCCATTTAAATTCATCTCTGTTTGTCTTACTAAAGCAAAAATCAAGTTATCATACTCGTTGGAACTACTCACCACATGATGAATTTATTTAGCCTGGACAAGAAATCAATCACTAAAACTATATTCAATTTCTTTTCTTTATTACTAAGCCTATGCCTGTGCCTCTAATGATTTCGTTCCTCTCCTCCCTAGCTTTTCCACTTTCTCCACTCCCTTTGTTGGCCAGATCTCACCAGCATAGAGGCTCTGCTGAGACTCTGACCCAAAATGACCTCACAGCAAGGATGCTGTCCTACCTGGAACTGACAACTTCTCCAACCCACCTTCTAAGCTTTCTCTGAATCCTATCAGCCTCCCACTACCTGGAAACATGAAAGAAGACCAGATTTAAAAAAGAGAGAGACGGAGATTTAAAGTTGCTGCTAAAAAAAGTCTCAAGCTGCCCAGCCCTTTCCTACAGTGATCCAGTGGTAGCCCAACATAGCTGTCTGGCCCCAAACTCAGCTCCTCACCTGTTGTTCACAGCACTGCGGAGGCTTAATGAAGTCAAGATGTATTACATTTATCACTTGCCCTTGATCCACTCAAATCTATCACTATGTCACAGCAGGAAGTTAGATTGATCTGACAGGATTTGCTCGTCTTCACACACCCATGTACATTATTACTCAGTACCCCACGCGCTTCTAGCTGTTTGCTGATTGATTATCTGACGATCAGGTCAAGTATCTTCTCTGGAATCGCAGTAAACTAACGGGTCTATAATTTCCAAGATCATTCGTATCCCCCTTTTACAGATAAGCAAGACAGCAATGCTTCTTCCTGAGCTCTCTAAAGCAACAGCTAATGCGTTGCTAATAATGAACCAGGGCAGCCAATTCCTTAAGTGCCCTTGGAATCACATCATCGGGGTTCATTGATTCCAGAGACAATCTTTAATCAGGCCCAGATCCTGGTATACCACATGAAGCCCTACCTTGGCCTGGGCCTAGAAGGCCTAGGTGCCTGAGTCTGGAAAGAAAGCCAGTAATACAAGTGTTTTAAATCTATACTGCTTTATGTCTTTAGCACTGTGGTTGGCAGACAGATGGATGGATGGACAGACAGACAAAGCAAAAATAAAAAGAACAATATCCTTGAAAGAAAAAGTAACAACAGCACATCAAATTGAGACAGGAGTCAGTTTCACCTTCAGGAACATTGACAATATCCTCTGCAGACAAGACACCAAAGCTGTATAATTATGTATCCTTATAATCTAATTGCAAAGGTATGAAATGCACATACACACAAGCAAGTACCAAGTGACAATGAGGGTTCAGAAAAGGATGGATCATACGCAACAGAGATCTGTAGGATTTTACTTTCACGCCTCAGTAGGGCTTCCTCAGTAACAGAAATTTTCATTCATAAGAGAATTAATATGGCATATTAGCATATAGATCCCTGATTTCCAACCTAGAAAAATCCACATAATCCAAATTCTCAACACCCACCATGCCAGAAAAATTCTAAAAGTTGGAGAAAGCAGAGACAACCCTACAGCACATACCAGAGCAAAAAGCAGAAAACATTAAGAATAGTTTCAGCTGGAGCTACTGCAATAGCATAGCAAGGTTAATCATATGGGTGCTGCCTTCAGAAAGCCTGACTCCAATTATTTAGAGGCATATAGCTCTTCTAACAGAGAAGAGTTAAAAAAAAAAAAAAAGAAAGAAAGAAAGAAATAGGGCCCAGCATGGTAGCCTAGTGGCTAAAGGCCTTGCCTTGCACATGCCAAGATTCCATATGGGAACCAATTTGTGTCCCAGCAGCTCCATTTCCCATCCAGCTCCCTGTTTGTGGCCTGGGAAAATAGCCAAGGACGACTCAAAGCCTTGGGAAGCCTGCACCCAAGTGGAAGACCCAGAAGAAGCTCCTGGCTCATGGCTTTTGATCAGCTCAGCCCTGGTCGGTGCAGTCACTTGGGGAGTGAATCAGTGGACAAAAGATCTTCCTTTCTGTCTTTCCTTCTCTCCCTAAATCTGACTTTCCAATAAAAATAAATAAATATCTTAAAAAGAAATAAAAAGAAAAGGATTATGGAATCAGCTGCCCTTACTGGTATTTGCCCTTACTGGAAAAACCGAGAGAAATGGGCCTGGTTTTCTTGGAATGGACTTCATTCCTTCTGATCTCCCAAGGACCCAAAGCTGAAGTCCTTTCTTTCCCTCCTTGCTTACCAATGAAAGCTGTTCCCAAAGCCAACAAGGCTATGCATCTCAATGAAGTAACCCTGCAGGGGGGAACTATAATCCTAGAGCTAGACAAAGCCAAGGACCCTATACCATAATAACTGACACATCAGTCCCACAATTATCCCCTTGAAGCAAACACCAAGCACTTCAGATCATAGCACAGGTGCCCTCGCCCACCATACTCCCCACCCCCGTTACAAATGCATGCTTCCAGGTAGCATTACTTTACATGGTAAAAGGACTTTGAGTACATTTGGTGACTAAGCAAAGAACTTTTCAAGAGGCCAACAACATACTTGTTTAAGTTATGTAATGCTACATAACAAATCATGCCAAAACAGATATAACCACTCGTTTTCTCTCACAGTTCCCATGATTTGGGAATTTAGGAGGGATGTAACTACCCGTCTGGTCCAGGGTCTCTCCTGAGGCTCAAGTCAGATGCAATGGGGGACTGCAGTCATCTGATGGCTTGACTGGGGCTGGTAGATTCAATTCCAAGATAGCTCTTTCATGTGACTGGCACGTGGGTACCAGCTTTTGGCAAAGGGCCTCCATTCCTATGTACATGTGCCTTTCTTCGGGCCTACCAAGGCAGACTCCAATGGTCTTTGTAACTTAGCCACATGCTTCTCTTCCATGATGGATTTCTGTGTATACTGACTCACTGTCAGAGGTACACAAATATTGCTGAGGATCAATGGAGGTCATCTTGCAGGCTAGCTACCAAACTACTTCTTAAAAGAATGCAAAGCAGTAGCAGGAGGGAAGGTAAAGATGAAAGGATGGAAGACAAGGAAATATTTCCATTGAGAATGTGCTCAGCCCTCCCTGGAAACTTCCGGGGTCCACGTCATCCTAGCATGCCTGAAGCAGGTCCTGCTACAGAGGCAGAGACTCCAGGCGAGTCACAACAAGCCAGAATGCTACAAGAAGGCTCCTCGTGGGCCCAGGAAGCAAGACTGTCCCCCCTCCCTCCTTGCCCTCCCCACCTTTTCTGAAGCAACGATGCATCAGTTACCTGAGGATGAATCTGTGGCTTGTCGCACGTAGCCTCAAAATCCAGCACTAAAAAGTAGTGATACCTCTGGGGAGGGAACGACACCATTGCTGCCATGGATGCGCCAAAGCCGTGGGCCGCCAGCTTCCTGGTGGATATGGAGCAGAACTCCGGAACACCACAGGGAGAAAATAAGTGGGAGCCCAGCACCTTCCTTGCTCTTGAAAGCAAATACGAAGAAAATCGAGCTGCTCCAGTCTGCAAAGGTGCTAGCATTGAACATCCAGAAGCATCTAAAACTTAGGGGAGGAAAGTTAAGGGAAAAAACAAAAACAAAAACAAAAAACAGAGAGCCTGGGTTACTCCCCCTCCCACTGTACCCACTGTGGCACTGTTCAAATCAGTCTTCAGGAACATCCACGCAACATGAGGCTCTCCCATGTTCTAAATCACAGCCTCTGTTACAGAGTTCAAGACCTTCATACCAGCACCTGCAGCATTATTACAGCTCTGAGTCTCCCAGATCATTCTCCAAACACCATGCAACACTGGCCTTCGGCTGTAAATGGAACTCTGAAGTTCAAAGGAAAGGAAAGCGAGAAAGTCCACGGGCCCTTGTCAGGTGGCAACACTTAACAGTAAAGCTAAGGGCTCCTAAATAACAAGAGGTGACCCATTTGCACAAGCAGTCCTGAGCGCTAAGTAGACTCAGATAAGCAGTGGAAAATGTCCAAGGTTCTTGCCTCAACTCCATTATTAGCCACTTGTCCCTGGCTTCCCTGCCCACACCCCTACATCTCAGCATTCCCTCCTCCCTTCTCCCAATGGGAAAGCAATTCCAATCACAGGGGAATTAGCTCAGGGTATTTTGGTGACTTCCCAACCCCCACACTAGTAAGTGGCACCCGGGGGACTGAGCAAAGCCTGGTGAGCACAGCTGGCCACAGCCTTAGGCCTTGCTGTTTGCTGCTTCTGACTCCCTCTCTTATGGAGGCCCTGACTGACGGCAGGACTTTTTAAATAGGGAACGAAAAAGAGAAAACCCAGATGTGGCAGTAATGGGAGCATTGCTAAAAGTCTAGTAAAGTTTTCTGAGTGAACATGTGCAAAAAAAAAAAAAAATTAAATTACTTTTCCTTTAAGTTTTTCCTTTAAGTTTGTGGAATGTCTGCTTCTCAGAGGGCTAACTAAATATAAAAATCAAAGCCCAAGTTTTACTCACAAATAATTCAAACTCCCTAAAAAGGAGGGGAAAAAAAGAACAAAGCAGGGACTTTGTGTCTTTCTCCCTTTTATACTCAATATTCAAATTTCCCACAACTTTAATCCTCAAACAAGAAAGCTCACTGCTCAACAGAGAACAGCCATAGCTTCTAGTATCAGAAGCCTCATTCCAACAGAGCCAGGGCTTGCCTCCGAAGGGCGGCCAGCCGACACCTGGCTGCTCCCACCCAGCGCAGAGGGGAGAGCACCTGGTACAGTCTAAAACAGCCTCAAAGGAAGGAGCCCATCATCTGCACGCAACAGAGGACACCCAGTGTCATTTCTCTTGCCAGCTCTCTCCTAAGTCACAGGATGAGCTGCATGTATGTGTTGGCAGGCAGTCTAGGCTATGTGTTAATGTCCTCAAGCCTTCTAGGGAGAGTTCATCAGGATCCACTGTAGCTAAGGTGAGACGGTGTGTTAGGTTCTTCATGCACAAGCTGGGCAATTGTTATCATGTTATAGGGTGCAGCCAGTGACAGCCAGCACCCACTGACAGTGAGCAAATTGAATATGGCTGTGTCCCCACCCTCTGTCCTGAAGGTAGGTCCTAACAGCAATGGAATGCTAATTCCATCCTCAGCAACTCCCCACCACCACTTAGGTATTCACTCCTGCCCATTTGTGACTCATCTATCATCTGATAGGGGACAGTACTGCATTGTTGTGTAACTACGCCCCTCACAATCCCCTTTAAAAGGCCCATGAAGCAGGGGCTCACTCTCTTTCTGGTCAGGAGCTTCCATTGCTCTGGCACCTTGACTCTTGGCTGACCCAGGACAGGTAATCCGCTGAACATGGTTCCTGTGTACTGCTTAGAAGGGACAATGGATATAGCAATGTTATTTCTGAGTTGTGTACTATCAGGAGTTCCAGGAGAGGTGAGGCCTAGCAGTGATAGAATGTGGACAGAAAAGCCAGGGAAAGATGAATGTCTGCAGCTTTGTAAGTGTGCCCAGGTTACTCGTTGCATGTCTCTTACAATGACTGATACTGTTGGGGAAGCTGGGACATAGGTCTTCAGCTTAACGGATAGAGCTAAGGGTAATGGCCATTTGTTCCTCTTGGGGTTATGTTTGGTGGATTATGACTGGTTGGATTGCCATATGGACTTGTGATTTGCTATTTCTAGTATGCTCTATTATCACCAAGCCTGGTTAATAAAGGCTCCTCAATAAACCTTAGACATGTCTGGTGTGATCTCGCTCGCACCCCATAACAATCACGGCTTCAAAAATGTAGCCAATATTCCTCAGGCTAGGTAGACAAAGGCAGGCTTGAGCAGACTATGCAACTTCTTCAGAGGGTAGCACCAATCTCCTTTTGAAGGCCAGAATCCCAGAGAACTACATCAAGCACTCCTGCCTGAAGGCCTGCTAAGATAGGAGACATCCATCTGCTCAGGTCATTCTTTTACTTTTAAGATTTATTCTCTTTTTATTTGAAAGGCACAGGTAAAGAGAGGAGACAGAGATCTTCCATCAACTGATTCAGTCCCCCAGATGACAACAGATTGTTCCCCACCCCTCCATAGAAGGCTGTCATTTGGACTTTTCAAAGTCTCAACTTTTCCAAATGTGTATAGAGTATACACATTCTTTTTTTAAAAGATTTATTTTATTTTTATCACAAACTCAGATATACAGAGAGGAGGAGAGACAGAGAGGAAGATCTTCCATCCAATGATTCACTCCTCAAGTGACTGCAAGGGCCAACGCTATGCTGATCTGAAGCCAGGAGCCTCTTCTGGCTCTCCCGCACGACTGCAGAATCCCAAAGTCTTGGGCCGTCCTTGACTGCTTTTCCAGGCCACAAGCAGGGAGCTGGATGGGAAGCGGGGATTCTGTATTGCCATTCAGACTTTGACAAAACTATTGACAATTTAAGTGTCATCATTAAGGAAGGCTTCCAGGTTTGAATTCTGGCTTTGCCACTTAATTAACCACAGTACCTCGAGCAAGCTCTGCTGTTTCCCACTTATAAAATAATAATGATAATAGTAACTACGCCTTAAGTGAGAATGAAATGGGACAATGCATTTAAAACAGTGAGATTAGTGTCTAATATCTAAAGGCTCAGTAAACACTAACTCAGCATTATCACTACTGCTATCCCATCGGGCTATGCCCACCTACCCTTGCCTGAACCCCCAGGCTGTGGATTTCTGATATGGGATAGACACATAAATCTAGATGTAAATGCTGAGTATAAAATATGCAAGGGAACATGGAAGTGTTCATGGGGTTTGTGGCACAGCAATTCAGCTACTGCTTGGGATGCCTAAGTCCCACACTGGAGTGCCTGGGTTTGAGTCCCAGTTCTTACTCTGATTCCAGCTTCCCATCTAATGCACAAACTGGAAGGCAACAAGCAACGATTTAAGTACATGGGCCCCTACTTCCCACATGGGAGACCCCAGGTGACGTGCCTAGCTCCTGGCTTCCGGTTAGCCTAGCTCCAGCTGTTGCAGGCATTTGGGCAATGAACCAGCAGATGATCTCTGTGTTTGTCCCTGTCCCTCTACTGCTCTTTCAAATAACAACTTAAAAAAACTTTAAAAGTTCATGAAAACGGAGTGAGACAATAAGAAGCTTACTTTGATGCAAAAGTACTTTTAGGGCCCGGCGCTGTGGCCTAGCAGCTAAAGTCCTCACCTTGCACATACCAGAATCCCATAGGAGTGCTGGTTCTCACCCTGGCAGCTCCACTTCCCATCCAGCTCCCTGCTTGTGGCCTGGGAAAGCAGTCAAGTACGGCCCAAAGCCTTAGAACCCTGCACCTGTGTGGGAGACCTGGAGGAGGTTCCTGGCTCCTGGCTTTGGATCGGCACAGCACTGGCCATTGTGCTCACTTGGGGAGTGAATCATCGGACGGAAGATCTTCCCTTTCTGTCTCTCCTCCTCTTTGTATATCTGGCTTTGTAATAAAAATAAATAAATCTTTAAATAAAAGTACTTTTAAATCCATGCATGGTGTTTTCATGATACATATTTTCCATGAACTGAAGATCCCTCATTTGTATGGAATTCAAAAAACTTCCTGCATCAAAACAACCTTATTATTTAATTCCACTTTCTACACATCTTTTTAAGCACTTTCATATACACACATGTGTAAGTACGTTTTTTTGACCTTAGGAAGGACCAGGGAGCAGCAACATTCAACCAGTTGCCTTCCAAATATCACTCTCGATTAAAAGAACCAGAAACTCCTTGGAGAAATAGCCAACTCCAGGACTACGGCAGACAAAGCACTAGATGAACCTAGAACATCTCATGCCAGAAAGCAAGAAAATGTTCAAAAATGATTGCAACATAAGGCACAGAAGCCACCTTGCAGGCACACCCCCTGGCCAGGGAAATATTGAGAATTACAATGCACTGACGTAAGCAGGGAACGAAAAGCTCATAAAAACAAAAACAAAAGTAAAGCTTGATAAGGGGTATTTCTATGGTTTCAAGGTAACTCTCCACAAAATGCTTATTAATTACAACAGGGAGTAACTTTATAATGGAGATACTTGGCAGGCAAGACATTAATCAAGGGATCAAAAAGATCATCTCAATAATGGGATAAATCAAAATCATGCCCCATCTGAAGGGTTGCAATGAGAAGGATTCTGTGATATGCCTGCTGAAGAGGCATAACCTGAATCAAATCATGAGCAAATATCAGACCATCCCTAATTGAGGACGATCTACAAATTAACCAGCCTGTGATCTTCAAAAGTATCAAGGTTATGAAAGACAAAAAATGTTTACTCATGAAAGTCTGAAACAGACTAAGAAGACTTGATAACTAAAGACAACACATGATTCTAAGACGGATCATTCTGCTACAAAGAATATTCTGGGACAATTGACAAAACTTGAATGGGGTTTGAAGAGGAGATGGAGGTAACATATCAATGTTAATTTCCTGGTTTTGATGGCTTTATTATACTTAGATAGAAAAATGGCTTTCCCTATAGGAAATACATGCAAAGTATTCAGGGTGATAGGATATTAGATCAGCAACTTAACCCTTAAATGGTTCA